GGGGGTGGGAAAGCGGAGGATCTCGCCTGGGCAGGTTCCTTTGAGGCGTCCGCGGGACAGACATCCGGATCTGGGGGTCCTGGAAAGAGCTGGGTGGGCGACGGCGATGGGAAATGGGGAAGAAAAAGTAACAGGAGCCCGGGGCGAACCAGGTAGATGTGATGAGAGAGGGGAAGGGACCAGGAAATTCAGCTCTTCGTGTCTCTCCTTCCCCCACCCTCACCCCCCATGCCCCGCCTCGGTGGAAGAGGTTTGAAATAGGGTTTCAGACTGGAGAAAACTTCCCGGGCCAGGTATCTCAGTGGTTAGAGAGTGTCCTGATACCCCAAGGTTCCAGGCTCATCCCCGGTCAGGACACATACAAGACTCGATCACGAATAAGTAAGTGGAACAAAATCAATCTCTCTCTCTTTGTCTCTTCCTCTCCCTCTCTCTTCCTCTCTCTCTCTTGATCTCTCTCTCCCCTCTCGAAATAAAATCAAGGAAACCAGAAACACGCAGTCCCTTCATGATCTCTGCAAAAAGAGAGAGAGAGAGCTCTCTGCAGGAGGGCGGGCAGGAGCATCCTCCCCATCCCAGATGGCCGGGACATTTATTGAGCGCCTGCTGTGCGCCACGCTCTGCCCAGCGCCTCTCTTCCCAGGAATGTGACGGCCTCCGGGCTGGGGACCAGCTCCCGCAGCTCACCTTGCCCAGCATTGGCCGCAGGCGCTTCCCGAGCTCGGCTTCCCCGTGCTGGCCCACCAGCCACAGCTGCACCTGGTTGCTGGAGCCCGCGAAGAGCGAGGACCCCGTGGACACGCGGATGCGGTAGACACCCATCTTCCACAAAGACGTTTCCTGCCTTCTGAGGGGGAAGAGGAGTGGAGGTGCCTAATAAAAGGGCTCAAGACCCCGCCCCCCTAAAGCCTCGTTTTGAAATTGCGGGCGTGCAGGGTGTGGATGGATGGCAGGCCTCCAACCAACCCGGCCTGGCCACAAGCTCTGGGCAGCCCAGAACTCGGCCCCAGCTCAGGAATTCCGGGTCTAGGCGGTTTCTGGTGCAGACCCCCCTTATCTTGGGAGGAGGATGGAATGAGGAAGCAGAGAGGATTTGGGCCGAAAACATGCAGGAAGAAAAAATTGACGCCTCGCCCAGCAGCAGGCTGGAGTGTGGCTGGGAAGTCCTCTCCATCTAAACACATAGACACACACACACACACACACACACACACACACACACACACACACACACA